GTTGGGATTGTTCAGCCTGGAGAGGAGAAGCTTTGGGGTGATCCAGTTGTGACCTTCCAGGGCCTGAAGGGGCTGACAAGAAAGATGGAGAGAGACTATTTCCAAGGGCCTGGAGTGACAGGACAAGGGGGAATGGCTTCCCCCCAGAGAGTAGGTTTGGATTAGATAACAGGAAATTCTTTGCTGTGAGGGTGGGGAGGCCCTGGCACAGGTTGCCCAGAGAAGCTGTGGCTGCCCCTGGATCCCTGCAAGTGTCCAAGGCCAGGCTGGAGCAACCTGGGCTAGTGGGAGGTGTCCCTGCAGGGGGTGGGAGTGGATGGTCTGTCAGGTCCCTTCCAGCCCAAACCATTCCATGATTCTGTGACTCACCTCAGAATTAAACCTGCAAATTGTGCTACTTCCCAGGATCTGTTTCTGGGGAGGTTGGAACAATGGCTGTGCCAGGTGCTCCAGCTGATCCGTGTGTTCCATGCCCATTCTGACACTCTTCCAGCCCCTCTCTGGGGTTGTTACACCTGAGAAATGCCAGGCTGGGAAGCTCCTCCTGCACCTCCTTTTTTTCAGGCTGCTCACTGTTTGGTAAAGACCCAGTGCAGACAGGTCTTAATTGGCATGAATTGAGTGTAAAGTGTATCCTCAGGGGAGTTTTAATGTCCCACTGAGGGCAGGGGAGCAGGAACAAACCCTGGGCTGTTGGCAGGTGCCAGGGGCAGCCTCTGGCTGAGCTCTGATCTGCCTGTTTCTCCAAAATCCTGGCTCTTGGCATGGCTGGAGCTTGCCTTTTTCTCATGCCCGTGTCACCACAGGCATAAGGGGCTGATTGAAGAGGCACAAGGAGTTATTTCTAGTTGCCCCTGAGGGCAGTTACTGCAGTTGAACTGCAATTCCCACTTCTCCAAGAACCTTTCCAGACTTGTCTACTCTTGCTGCCACCTCAGGAGTCCTTGTCAAAGCACAAACCCTGCTAGAAAGGCTGGGGAGGCAGCGTGGTTTGTCCTGCAGGAATGTGGCTGCTATAATCCCATGGCTCCAGCAGTTCGATCCAATCCTCACCCTCTGCTCCTGCCTCTCCTCAGAGCTGGGGGTGAGCCTGATCCCTCTCCCACATCTCCAGGGCCAGCTCCTCAAACTGCGTCGAGTCTCCAGCGTTGAGCTCCGAGATGCAAAGCAAAGTCCCCCCTCCAAAAAATCCAAGTGAGAGCTCCTTACGTGTATAAATATTTATTTGTACTAAAAGTGAGTGTTTCGTAGCAGACTATCGCATTCAGAATATATTAAATCATAAGAGGCATCAGTTGAAGTACAAATTCCAGTCTCATGTCTTCAATAAATACACTATAAAACCCCCGGCCCACATACTCTAATCAGAGGTAATCGGGACACTACGCTGGTTTAACAGGATAATACAACATCTGTGTTTGCTGTAACCACTTGGATTTACCACAGAGGGTTTTTTTAATGTTGGATTGTTTTATGATGAGCAGCGACAGTGCTACTTCACTCCTTAAAAATCCAAAGTGGGAATATTGCTTTTGGCCTCCAGGTCCCTGCCAGAGGGCCTGAGCAGATGAGGTGCTGAGGTGCTGTCGGCTCCCACCACGGGGGCTGCAGCATTTCCTTGGGGTATGACACAAGCTTTGGGCTCTTTGCTCCAAATACTTTTAAAAAATGACTTAAAAACCCACCCAGCAAGCCTTTTTGCAAGGCTGTTTTCCAGCCATACCCAAAGGCTTGGACGCTGTGCTGTGGCCCCAGCACAGCAGCTCTGAGCTGGCGGTGTCGCTCCCAACCCTGACAAGGGGAAGCTGGTCGGTTTTGCTGAGCACAGATCTGTTTGGCATTAACACTGAAGCACAAGAAGAGGGAACGCTGGTTCCTGTTCATTGGGAACACATCCTGACCGGATCTGGGGCAGCTACTAAAGAAGGACAGGTACAAAAATCACAAATTCAGGTTGTTGGAGTAACAAGTGAGTGCATGACTGTCCTCTGCTGGCACCTCCCGCCCAGGAAGGTGGAGTGGGATCAGCCCTTTCCCTGGGAAAGCTCCACTGGCCACAGGGAGCACCTGAGGCAGAGCCAGGTGGCTGTGGGGCTCCCAGGGGGATGTTCAGGGTGCAGCACAGCGGGTGAGGCTCCGGGGTTGCATCACTGCCCGCTCCCGGCTCAGGGAGGAAGTGGAAAAGCCTCAGGCACAGCAGCAAAGTCCAGCTCGGGCTGAGGCTGGGGAAGGAGGTAAAGTCTGGGGTAACTTTCCACCAGCCAGAGCTGGGAGCAGCACCAGGCACTGGCTCTCAGCTCCCCAAAGGGCTGGGGGGGCCTAAGGGCTTTCCTGCTGTCCCCCAGCCAGAGCCACTGTCCCCATCTCGCTGGCACGGAGGGAATCGGGTCACCTGTACCCACACACGGCTGCAGGTACAGAGGGGGGCAGGAGCTTCAGCCTCCTCTCACCTGGTTTACCACGGACAGCTGCTCAGACTCCCCTCATGTGGCCACTTGGCTGTTTGGCCTTTGATTTGCCTTCCGGATGGGAGGAGCGCAGGTAGAGGGAAGGGGGATCGATCCTGC